AAAGGAGGCCACACCCACAGAGTAGGTTCGAACAATTCTTGAAACCCACCACTGTGGAGATTCCTTTCACCTAACAAATGCATGACTCAATGTAGATTCCGAAAAAGGGGGAAAAAAATCACAAAAATAAATCAGCATTAACTGAACCAATAAATACTGATTTAAATTAAACAGTTAGTGAATCCTTAACCTGCATCTATCAAGTATTCCTTCTCTCTCACAAACACAAAACCCATCCTACATGCATAAAGAAAGATACACACACACACACTCCCTTGTTTTGTTTCATAAGAAACAGAAATGAAAAGGAGAAATAAGCTGGAGATGGAAGTGGGAGAAGTTGATTAAAGGGGAAAAAAAGAGAAGTCTTATTTAGGTGTTCTACAAATGGTTAATGTTCACTGGAGAAGGAGCTCCTTCCAGGCTACTCTTTCATTAAACTAATCTTCTGTGCTTTTCAGCAGAAATGTCTACAGCCATTTGTTCAGTTGCCTCGCTGTTTTTCAGTACTTTCCATTTCTGCTCTATTTCTTAGCAAATGTATGAAAACAGGTGAAGGTCTGTGGGTGCACATGCTTAGGATGATCTAGTGCAAATCTCTCATTTATGTTATTTAACTCTATGGTTTTCGTGACGGCGTTGGAATAAAACATATTAAATTTTCACAAAAAATGTGGTAGAAGAGAAATACTTACTGGAATGTGAATGGCTTTGCAAAAAACAAAAAAGAAAGGACAATTGTCATTGCTTTTCTTCCAGTTGTAACTGGAGGGGAAGAAAAACCACAGGAGGACGTTATACATTCATTCCAATCCAACTAAAATACAACTTCTTAAAGAAACACTGTAGAAAATATAAACATGAAGCTTCTTAAATCTTGTATTGCTTGATTTCAATTACCAATATGCTCTTCTAAACAGTCTGTCCAACGAACATTCTTACTGAAAATTGCTCTAGGGTTCAAGCTTGATGCAATTAGAAGGCACTAGATCAAGGAATGGGGATGTAAAGTAATTACAAATACTGAAAGGCAGTGTCTTGAAAGTAAGTGATTATAACAGGTTATTAAAGTGAAAGTTTTCATCTCAGAATGAAACTTATTTATGGCAACAACCAATTTAATTAAATATTGGGTTTCTGTCTGGATGGTCTCGTGTGATGAGCCGAAGGACAGAGAATGGAAGTGT